ATGTATGACAAGACAGATCAAAGATGATTTTGAATCCTTGATTTTTATTTATTTATTAGTTTTTTTGCCTGTTCATTTGTGCATGCTTGTAAAATATGGGAACTGTATGATTCACTGAAAGGTTCTTTGGGGAAATGGTGGTTCTTTGGCATTGCTGTGAAAACCCCCTTTTGGAACCCTTATTTTCAAGAATATAACGCGGGCGACGAATGATATCAAGTTTACGGCAGTGTTCGTACGTCGCGGAGTCGAGACGCAGGTGCCCATTTAGAGCCTTTAGCTCGCAGGGCGTATATCCAATTTCCATGTTGGGGTTAGATCCAATAGTGACCAAAAAAATAATAATGAGCCTTTGAGCTATTGACGTGTTGGCAATTGCCATAGGAACGCCAGCCATCAGCAAAACCACGTTAGCCAGAACCACAATCATCGCAGCATCTACAAAAGTTCACTGAGAGGAAGGCTACCCGACCAGACAGTAAGCCAGTAGACCAACTGACAAGAAGAGTGTTAACTCACCTGACAGTCAGTCCAATAGATTGAGGATCGAAGAGGTAGAGGGCTCGCCAAAAAGTTCCCGGCGGCAACAAAACATGCCACGTTGAAGCAAGGTAGTAAAAAACAGAACACAGAGTAGTATCCAAGAAACCAGAGGGATTCACAGCAGATCCAACAATAGTCCGAACAGTAGTCCAGTAGTCCAAAATGAAAGTAGTAGTCCAAGACGGTAGTCCAAAAACGAAAAAAAAAACAGACGAATCAGACAAAATGCAAACACAGATCATCATGAAAGTAGTAGTCCAAGACGGTAGTCTAGAAACGAAAAAGAACCAGACAAAACGCAAACACAGATCGTCACAAAACAAACAAACAGCCCAGCGTGGAGCGGCAGCCAGATGCGCATAGCGTACCCACAACCGGAAGTGTGCACCTGCCTTTTTTTTTTTTTGCCAAAAAGTGTTGTGCTCTGCTCTCCATTACTAATTTGACTACATAATGCACAATACTAAACAATATAAACAAATAAAAACAAATTGCACAAAGGGGACTGTGCAATATATGTGTGTATACAGTGCAAATATGTAAATATGCACAGTTACTATCTAGAATGTATATGTTTAGTGTGAATGAAATTTAGACTGCTCTCTCCCGCGGCCTCATGATGGATAGTAAAGTGTCCATCGAATGCACACTTCAGAATCCCAGTGGAAGTTATAGATCATCCGTGTACTTTTTGCCTACTGTTTTTTTTCTTATGAATTTGGGCATACTACTCTTTAGGCATACTTTTTTTTTTTTTTTGCATACAATATTGTAGGGGAGTATTCGATTTCAGACACGGCGATACACAGTCATACACCCGGCGCAATACAATTGTTTTTTGCTAGTTTCAGCCCGACACAGTTGCCATTTTCATGTCCTGTGCCACATTAAATAGCAAATGCATTTTTCAAATGCATACGTCAACCTATGACCTCCGGGGTAAGACATACGATGTTTGTACAGATGTTTGTATGTGACCAAGGACGACAGGAGATAAATGAATTCCTGAGGAATGTTTTTGTGTTTTTAGGGTCCGTTCCCACATCTGGGGGTTTTCCCCATTTGGGGTCCGCATGCTCAGGTGTCCGGTTGCTGTCTGTTATGCTCTCTCTCTCTCTCTATGGGAGATGTGAGAAAGATATTGGTTTTAAGGTCAATAAAAGAATAAGTAGACAATTCTAACAGATCATGAGAACATATCACAATATGTGTGCACACATATAATATGTTGGTTGTATAAAATAATTTAAATAAAATATATGATATGACTAATAATGAAATTGGTGATAAAACAATAAATAAAGAAATACAATTCCTCTTACATTTTTCCGTGAGACAAAGTCTTCTTCTTAGCGCAGATATGACCGTTCCGTGAATGAGAGGTTTAAAAAATTGTGCCTAGTTTAAGCTGGAAAAGCTCGCTCGCTCTCTCTCTCTCTCTCTCTCTCTCTCTCTCACATACACACACACACACATACACACGCACACACACACACACACACACACACACATACATTAGTTATCTAAATGGGGACATTACACAGTCTCCTATTTTTTATCTACAGATAATTATATATTTTACAACCTAACACTAACCCATCGCAGAAAACTTTACATCTTACAAAATAAATAAATAATTTATGTGCTTTATAAGTAATTTTCTCAAGGGGTTCGATAAAATGGCCCATGCAGTGTCAAAATGTTCATGCTCCTCTCTTGGTCACTTGGCCACTGCAGTTTAGATTAAACAAGTACACAAGCACACATTCAATCATCCGAGTCTTATTTTCTTCTTTTAAATTAAATGAAAATATATGAATTAGGCGATCGCATATGATATAAAACAAAGCAAAACATTTACACTAGTTTTAGTCATCACTAAAAATATAAAAACGTCGTTAACTGGTTCTCTTTTTTAACCATTTTCCAGGCTTATTATTTTTGACTCACATATAGAATAAGTTTGGAATAAACCTTATCGTCCATGTTCTTCCCTACAGACCCCAAAAATAATATCCAAACAAGATCTATGGGGCCACCGTTGTAAATTCAGCAGACGTAATTACTCAGAAGCCTGTGGGAAAACCCCCAGATGTGGGAACGGACCATAAAAACACAAAAACATTCCTCAGGACTTCATTTATCTCCTGTCGTCCTTGGTCACATACAAACATCTGTACAAACATCATATGTCTTCCCCCGGAGGACATAGGTTGACATCAGAATTTCACACATGCTGATTTTCACATCATGACATCTAACAGGTCACGGGGTCAACACGACGTGGGTGGTTGTGATGCGGGTGGTCGCAATGTGGGTGGTCACTACGTGGGTGGTCGTGACGTGGGTGGGCCACGTGGGGGGAGGGGAAAGGTCACAAAGGTCAAAGCCATAAATCTTTTTGTCATAAGCTACCTGGTACTTACTACTCGCGTACAATAGCCTAATATCAGGCTATATATATGACCGGCAGCTGGTCCGCGCAAATATTTTCCAAACGTAACCGGTCCGTGGTGTAAAAAGATCACGAGCAGATCCGTTCCCTCACTAGAGAAGCGTTCAGTTTTTCCGCTTGCAAATTCCGCCATGTAAATAGCAAATCCCCCATGGCGCGAGTGCAACTGGCTTTTAAAGGGAATGGGAGATGAGACTCTGATTGGTTTATGGCATGTTACGCCCAAAACACACTCATTACTTATTAAGAGAATAGGGACAACCCTTTTAGACCATGCGCCGGGTGCACCGACCATTTTTCCCGTCTTTAAACTAGCAAAAGGAGATTCAGACACGCCCTAAGCGCAATTACGCCGTGTGCTTTAGACCATGCACTTAGATCGTTAAAATAGGGCCCTGACTCTTCCTGTTTAAATCACCGTTCTATCCACTATCTCTGACATTTGCATATGATTGTTGCATTTTGCCCCCTAGAGGCAGTTACACAGAACTTCCAAATTACTCTACAAACATTCGTGCTATTCCGCAACCTGGTCAGGTTTAACCTTCTGATGCTGTGTTGTCATTTTTGACTGGAAAATGTAATGTTTTTTTTTTTTTAGATATTTTTTTTTACTTCTTCGGAATGGTACGAAACTTGGTAAAGGTTTTGGCACCTGCTATGTGATCAAACAAACAAAAAAAAACATGGACATGATTCAAAAAGGTAAATGGTCCTGAAACAAAAGTCACACTTGTACTTGTTCGCAGTCAAAAATGAGCTTATTGGAAATTAATGAGAAGCAAATTTCATCTAATGGAAATGTTTGGTGCTGCAACTAAACAAAATCTCCCCCCCCCCCCTCCAACCTTTTTTTGAGATATCAACCTCAAATTTGGAACACAGCTTAAGTTGGAAACACAACTAAAGTTTAAGTTGGAAATTTCATTTTCAGGTCTATGCTCTAAAAGTGGTTATCAGGTAATACATAGATCATAACTATTCCATACATATAATATAGTGCCATAAAATCCCCTAAAAATAAAAAAAAAACAAACAACAAAAAAAACAATATCAAACTAAAATATAGTACATTCAGTTCATTGAAATAAAACAGTTCGGTCACTTTTGACTACCATGCGAACAGCACCAGAGTGTTAAACTATAAAAGAGTACTCAGCTGAGCGATAAGCTGATATATGTGTGTGAGAAAATATCATATATTGTGTTAAAAAGTAAATAAATAACACAGCACATGAGAACAGTTCCAGTCTCTGTTTTTATTGGAGCTGCATCAGATAAGGCAAATGATTCATGTGCCTAAGAAGTCTCCTTAGCTGTTATAAATTCACTGTAAACATCTTGGGGCTTATTGCTTTATTAAACTCACTCACTGATGAAAAATGCCAAAACATTCAAATTTGAAAAATAATTAGTTTTCTTGTCCCTAATAATGAATATTATGCAAAGGAAGCTCTTTTAGTATGATCTGCATACGTATTTAACTGCTCATTCCATTATATAATCAACAATAACTATCAACCTATGAAACAAACTCACTGAGACTAATGACACTTTCTTTTCCATGCATTATTTTATTATATCCATTATGTGTTTACAGACAAAACATATAAAATAGTGAAATTGTGCCATATATTCTCTGACTTGTTTTGCAGGCACTTGAGACAGTGACATGAGCTCCTCTGACAGAGCCTTCACTCTTATTGGTTGTTGCTCTCAAAAGTTGCTCAGCATTTGCAAAAAGTTAATCATATGTCGCCTACATCCTGTCGCCAATTACTGTTGCTCATAACGATAGAAATCGCCAGCTCTCCACTGAAATTAATCAATGGATCATGTCGCTGCTTGTTGTTGGCAGTGTGAACGGGGCTTTAGTCAGACTGGGTTTTCCTGTCTAAGCAGTCAGTTCTTGGCTGAAATATAAGTTGGCAAGCTGGCCCAGATTTAGCAAGACCAAAGGTCAGTTTGATACTTTTGTCTGATGTTTTGTCTCTATAAACAGCTGTTTTTGAGAAGACTTGGTGTCTAAATACTTCAGAGAGCACCACCGACACATCCAACTACAGCATCAGTACAACATTCAGCACCCTGTACACAACAGTGACCGTGCCGAGTCTGGTGTGTGAAAACAAGGGTATCTTACAAGACGGGATCTGCATCTGCCCAGATGATTGGACTGGAACTACCTGCAACATTCGTAAAACCCATTGAAAATATTGCATGATATGCAGACTGAATAATCTTGTAAAAGGTTTCAAGGTTACTAACGGTCTTGTTTTTTTTTACAGAAAATTTCTGCCCTGAACAAAAGCCCACACCAACTAGCAAATTCACCTTTCCAAAAACTGTCCTAGGCCAGTTTGCTTCCTCCGTAGAGAGATGTCCACCAGAAACAACAAATGGTACTTGTCTCTCTACTAACTTCCTTTTTTATCACAGTATGCAATAATATATATATATATATATATATATATATATATATA